CGCTAGTGTGTTTGCAATAAAATGAGGTTGTAGAAAATAAAACAGCGAAATGACTCACTGTTGCGACGTGCCGCTCAGTCGACTACGGCTGGCAGACCGAAGGTCCATTACTCTAAGGTGCGCAGGTGAGTCATGTGGTTGCACAGCGACCTGCTCACACTCATGCCAGGTGCACAAACGAAGCCTGAACAGCAATCTCCAGTTGTGCTGCAGGATCCCCCCAAATTGCTACATGCACTAACAGACATAGATGCTGTCAAAGCAGCGACAATGGCGAGGAAGGAGAAATGCATTTCTGTGCAAAGGTGATATGAAATCTTCTGAGGGGGATCTCAAATGATATCTCTGAGGATGGAGGAACACTGTAGGACGATGACCAGGTTTTATATGCTGCATACACTCAGTATGGGCACGATTCTGAACAATTTGGCAGAATTGTTATTGCTATCAGATGGCAGAAATTTAGGCAGAACCTACAGGAGCACGTTGAATTGATTACGACCAACTGTATACTGCATGGTCGGGTATGAAAAACCGGCGAGATACATGTTGTTTATTTATGTCGATGAATAAAAAAAAGATACTGTCAATGTCGTGTACAAGGACCCGGAACAAGGAGTGAGTGAGAGAAAAATGATATGAAATATCGACCGAGTAATGCATGTCGGAAGTATTGACGAGAATGAGCATCAACTTCTCGACTTTGTCGCTGCGCCGCGGCTGGCAGGGTCACTGCGGGTTCAAATTATGAAGCGATGAATGAGAGATCGGGATGAGAAACCGGGATTCGAGTTCTGTGGTTAAGAAAAGAGATGTTACATAAGACTCTGCACTTGTGAGAACGCGAAGAACAGGAAGTTATGTAAATGAGTGCCTACTAAGTACTATAGTAGATGTCCTAGAGTTCAACCAAGTACGATCCATCTTCCGTCATGTGTATTAACAATTTTAAGGTGATCATCTTCGTCAAATCTGGTGCAGGAGCCGTCGAACTGGACAAGCTCTTAGTTTCATGTAATTTCCCCAATCATTCCTTGTCGGAGATTCTTTGCCGGCATTGTAATGGTCACGTGTTACGATGCCCCGCAAAGTCATTGTGATCTGAATTACGATGCTTTAGGCGGAGTCTCAATATCATCCTGATTCAGATTATGACTCGTACGATGACTTATGCCTAAGGCCTAAGGCCTAATAGCCTGGACGTGCATCAACCCACCCAACAATTCTGGCTCTGTACATCGCTTCGTTTCCGATTCTTTGTGCTGTTTTCATCTATACTCTTTATTTTAAACGACATCCTTGATTCAATTGTCTTGTTTCATTCGGCTTGAATCTGAATCGCCTGTACACCAAATCGCATACCCACAACTTCCGTTCGTCTGAATCAATTCTCTCCTGCTATCTATCTGTGAGTCTATAGTCAGTCTGAACGAGACTCTTTCCCATCCAAAACTTATCGCATTTGCGCTCAACAGTTTTGCCAAGTATCTTATATTACACTCGAACGAAACATATCCTTGATCATCGTCTGTTTTGTCTTTAACAGTTGATTTTTGGTATGTACTCCATTACTAACAGCCTTTCACTTTAATAATCTACTGAACCATCAGCTTGTTCGTCGCTTGTTTGCTACTTGATATCAATGCCTAAGTCAAAGCAACGGGCATCAGAACTCGCGACATGTGATCGATGTGGGGCGAATGTTCGTGCGCGCGGGTTAGGATCGCATTCAAAGTCTTGTGCAAAGAAAGAAAAGGAACGGCTGGAGGACGAGGAGTTTGCTGATATAGTTCGGAAGGCCAAGAAGAAAGGTGAGTGCTCAAATCAGTCGTCTTTCAATCATGCACTCAATAGATAGTTGATATCTGCCATACAGAACTTCGAAGGCAGCGACGCGAGATTCGCAATAATCTACAACGTTTGGAGGATGCGCAATCATCTATTGCAGGTGGGCCCTTATGTTTCAATGATAGTACTATGTTTCTAATTGTTCTCATCGCAATACAGTGAGCGCTACTGCGATCTGGGCAGATCCAGATCCAGATGTTGGTATGTTCAATTTAATTAGATTGATTATGTACTGAGACTGTCAATATCAGAGATGCAAGGGTCATCGCCTCGACAATACCCACCAGTGGACCATGACGCAGCCTTACCTGACTTTCACGAGGCCGATTTTGCTCCCAACGAGCCCGATCCTGGTTCCAATGAGCCTGATCCTGGTCCCAACAAGCCCAATCCTGAGCTCGATGATATTAAAGTCGAGTATCATCCTCACAGCCAAATTTCTTCCACTGTACATCACTTCTCTGAGTTCACCCGCAGCCGCATGACAGAACATACTGTGCCTCGTAACAATACACCTTGGGAACCCTTCCGCACGCGGCTAGACTTCGAAATAGCAGAGATTGCACTTGAAGCTGCGATGACGAAGGATCAAACCAATCGCCTTCTGGATCTCGTGCACCGATCTGCTAGCGGCAATGATAAGTTCACGCTGCAAAATCACGATGAGGTTCGCTCCCTATGGAACCTTGCTTCGCAACGTTATACCAGAGTGAGTATTGTCTCATGTACTAATACTAACATGATAATAAACTGATTATCAGTGCGCAGTTTCAGAATGATACAGTGTCTGTTCCATTTGACAGTGAGGTGCACGAATTCGAGATGCATTACCGCCCTCTCTGGGATTGGGGACTCGATTTATTGCGAGACAAATATCTCGCGCCTCATTTCGTATTCGATGCTCAACGTCTCTCGAAATTCGACGGAGAGAGGTTTGTACGTTTCATTGACGAACCATGGACTGCTGATGCATTTTGGAATGCACAAGTATGTTTCAAATCTTGTTTTATTGTTGTTTTAAATTAATAGTACAATGTCAAACCGTTGTAACTGTACTAGTCCCAGCTTCCCTCAGATGCGAAACCACTGGCATACATTCTTTATGCCGACAAGAGTAAACTATCGTCATTGGGACCCAAAAGGGCTACCCAATTATTGCGCGTATTGCCAACCTACCTGTTCACATTCGCAACAACAATACTGCCTTGGGAGGTGGTCGCGTCGTCGGTTGGCTGCCCATTGTCAGTTGCATTGACAAGCTTGTTGGGTTAGTATTAGTATTGCTAACTGCCGTATTGATTTAGATTGTCGAGAATCAGGAACATGCGAAAAAGAAGAACTACGTCGACTTCAAAAATGCTGTCTGGCACACGTCATTTTACCAGCTTCTTGCCTCAGTTGCGCAGCACTCGAATACGGGTTATTGGTTTGAGTGTGGAGATGGAATCCAACGTCGTCTCTGGCCTGTTATTTTGATCTTAAGCGCTGATTATGAAGAACAGTAAGTACCACATGCATTTACTATTGTGAGGCTTATGTATAAATTGTAGATGTATCATGGCGTTGATCCGTGGACTTAAGGGAAAATTCCCGTGTCCAGTTTGCTTGGTTCCGCAAGACGAGCAGTCCGTTCTTGCTACCCACGAGTTTCGCACACGCCACCAATCTGAAGATGTACTTCGCACTGCAAGATTGAAGCCTTCTGAGAAGGAAAAAGAGGCTCATCTCAAGGCTTTCTCGCTCCGAAATGTTGAGGTATGCAGTTCCTGCTGTGATATCTATCAAATACTGATGTAATTCAATTGTTAGAATGTCTTTTCGAGAGTTCGTCACGTCGACGTTCATCGTGCACTTTCTTTCGACCGCCTTCACACAAATGAGGAAGGGTTATGGGGCGATCATTTGTGGAAGGAAGTTAAGTTTTGGATTTCAGACCTCGGGCGCGATGCAGCTGTCAAACTCGACAAAAAGTATGTATTGTGATTACCATGATACATTGTTGCTACTTCTGACTCAGCGTCCTACTAGTTTTGATGGACTTCCGCGATGGCCTGATTTAACACATTTTTCGTCTGTCGTCGCAGTGGATTTCACTGATGGTACTGTTCTCGGGGATCTGTCAAAGGTTCATGTGCACATTATAAGCGGTTTTCGGCACTAACACAAACTTACTATTTAGATGATTGTCTTTGCCGCACAGGATATATTTACTTCGTCCCGCTGTAAACTGGGACACTTACTCCTTCGCTGCATTCGCCACTACATCGAGTTTGATATCTATGCCTCGTTAGAAGTGCATACAGAGCATACAATCGCAGCTGGGAGGTTGGCAGTGCAAAAGTTCTCAGAGATAATGGCCGTAAGTCACTGTATTGTTCTGGTTTTCGATGATGATCAGCTGACACATCACTAGGAATATATTGCCCAATCACAGCCTGAAACCCTCAAAAATTGGAACTTTCCAAAGAAACATTTGGTCTCTCACATATTCGACGATATCATATCGAAAGGTGCGACACGTAACTACAGTACCAAACCAAATGAAAAAATGCACGGCTCGTTGCGAAAAATATATCTTCAACGTACAAATTTCAAGAACGTCGCTTCTCAGGTTTGTTACTTGTAACTATTTGTCATGCAGATTCAGACTTGTTTTATTGTTACAGATTCTGCACTATGATGAATGGCTTCTGACCTCAACATCTATGCGCACTGAACTCGATGAACTTGACGAGTACTACAAACGAAACACTTGCGACCCGGAGACTCATGAAGCGCTGGACTTGGATGACACTGGGGAACCCGAATCTACTACTATCCATGCTCATTTAGGTTCGAGGCAAGGCAACCACTCGTTTTCCGATATCATGCTCTCGCACGGAACTGACAGGGCCTTCACCAACTTTCGGATGAAGCTAAATGGCTTCTTAAATGGCTTTCTACCACAGCACAATATTCCATTGCCGGATGGAAAGTGTATTCACCTGCGCACAGAAGATATGGTATGCTAATTTACTTCTCATTCAATTCATTATACTAATACACTACTATTAGATAACAGTGTTTCATTTCTTGCGTGTCAACTACGAATCAATAGTCAACTGGCGCCTGCACTGAGATTTACTTCGGTGCAACCCGAAGTTCTATGGATTGCCAAGGTATGACTGCGTCATCGTGAAGACTGCCGACAAACCATTTTTCGCTCGCCTCGTGTACATGTTCAGCTGCTTGATTGGCAACACTGATTTCCCTCTCGCGCTGATTCATCCTTATGATGTTGGTATCGCCAGTAGTCGTCGAAGGCGAGATAATGACATGGGACTGTGGCGTGTGCGAGCCAAACCTCGCATATCCTCTGAAATCATCTCTGTCCAATCGATCATTCGGGGTGCTGCTCTCGCAAATGATCCGGAAACAGACGGAGATTACTTTGTAATTCACACTGTAGATACTGACATGTTTCTTCGAGTCAAGGCTCTACAAGATCAACCAAGCACTTGATCCACTACCGCTTTAATACTGGCTTGAGAGCCGCAAATTTGCTCCTGTAAGTAAGCCAGGTCCTGCCACATCCCTTTGAGAGCGACACTTCACACTGTCCCATATGCCCAGGAACTGACGAGACCATTACCTATTTGACTGCCCACAGTACAGATGCAAACGTCACATATTCGCAAGCACCGTCCGACAAAATGCAACATCCATCACGCACATACTCACATCCAAGAAAGTCACACCTCATCTTAACCACTTCGTAAATAGCACCGGCCGCTTCAAACCTACATTTGGTGAGCTGTAAACTTTGTATAAGAAAATATACTAACAAAACATATAGATATACCATACACCACTCCGTGACATAATCCCCATCATCATACTCTTCGTCGAAAGCGTTTTCTCTAGTCCGCTGTCGCATTATGGTGCGCGAGTCTTAGTGCCATGATGGAAAGCTCGGGCAACCGAACAACTACCATGTTGATGTCTAGGCGGTGTTAAGGGTATCTTGGAGCACACGCTCTTCAAAGGAACTTATTTCCCAACTTTGGTGGACCATCAACTGTGCTAACGTCTATGTCGGTTTCCAGGTCCAGCCTGCTCTGATGGGCCTTTCCATGCACGGCAATTACAAACAGCCTTTCGTCAAACATTCTTCATTTTACATATGTAAGTGACCTCATTATTTCTGAATCGTAAGACTTTATCCGTCCACGTGTTGATGTGTAGATTTGAAACGTGTACTATCACACATCGACCTGCAACATGTTGCGATGATTATTATGTACGTCCTCATCGCGTGTAAATTACTGTTCAATTTAACTTTGTTGGTCGCAGCCTCATGGCCTCAACACGATTGCATAAAATGGCACCGACTGCGAGACGGACTTGACACCCTGCGACGACCCACCTCTCAACACCCTTCAATGTCTGACTCTGGTTCGAATTCGATATCCTTCAGTTCTGATTCAGGTTCAGACTCGGCAGATGAAGGCACCCAATGTCAGCCTGTGGCTCCACCGAGCAGTGGCGCCTCTATTGAACACTACCAACAGGTACGCTTGTGCTTTTGTTCGTATCACATATTCTAAATTCTAACATACTTGTTAATACATTAGTATATCAAATATCTCCAGCTTCAACAAGGGCAGCTCCAGCAGCGGAATGCATCTCTGAATGAGAGCAATGGCATTCTGGCTGCACAACAGCTGAAACGTTCTCGTAAACACCCTCAAACATTGTCGTCTAGGGTATCGTCAATGTCGCAAACAGCATCTGCGATACTGTCCGCATCAGAATCTGCTGTCTCAGCTCCTGCCTCATCGACGACGAATGATGTTGACAAGCTCATTTTAAGCCTGGCGAAAAAATATGCATTAACTACCGAGATGTTTCTCCCTGACAAGGTTATTTTTCAAACAGACTGTCCTGATCCTGCAGTCGACTTCTCGAATCCAAATCGTTATGCGAAGAAGTCTACAGCAAAGGATGCACTCGTTGCTGAACTCTATGCGTCCATTGACCACACGTTGCACGCTCAGATGCGAACAAATGCATTCTTCAACCAGGTGCGCAGTTTTTCTCACTTCAAGGCTTTAATATTATAATAAATACTTCAATCAGTTCGGGAGCGGAATGCAGCAAGCTCGCTCATCATTTCTAAACAGCCTGCGTACTGTTGCAGGCGGCATCTTCAACATGCCCAATGAATTTTTCGTTTCGAAATACGACCGAACTTCCCTCTCACAGGTCACAGACTTGATCGGATGGGAAGCAGGCAAAGGCAAGGCCTATGATATCTTCAAGGCGCCCATACTTTACCCCGATCATATCGTGAACGAGAAGAAAATCTTCAGGAACTGGATAGTCATCGCAAAGGTAAGGTCAGTTTATACTAGTAACAGCGGATCTGGCTACTCATATGTTGCTTTGAAGGCTATGAAGGTTGCGGTATGCGGAAAGATGTCATTGTATTCCAAAGCACGTGGCGGACCACCTTCCTACGCTAAGATGTGGAAGCTCACAAGCTGCACTCCTGGCCTGATCGCATTTAGCGTCACATCGGTAGGGTCCCAGTTTGAATATACACTGAGCTGATACTCATCATGTCCTGTAGATCATATTCATCCTGTCCCCAGACCAGGAATTCTCGGGTGATGGAGTTGGTGCCATTTCCTCGATCGCGTATCACTCCCTCTTTCAGACAGTCAAGAAATTCTTCGTTGTTAAGTGGAACCACCAGCGCATCAAATCGGTCGTCGAGCAAATCAACGGATACGTCTTTGATGGTACCGTCAAGACGCAGCCATCCAATGACACTCAGTGCACCATGGAGCAAGTCACTGAATCACTTGATCGTGTTATGGCCGCGCTGGACGCCAGTGATTCAGACTCAAACGATGATTCAGACTCATTGGAATATGTTAACTTGCCGGTACAGGCAGCTAACATCCATCCGACTGTAACTGCAGCTGCAGCTGCAACCATTTCAACCTTGCAACCTAAGACAGCCGTTGACGCTCCCCAACTCGAAGCCGCAGTCCCGCAACCCAAAGCCGCAGTCCCGCAACCCAAAGCCGCAGTCCCGCAGTCCGAAGCTGCAGCCCCGGGGCCTATCATTCAAGTTGATACTAGCCTACAACCTTCCATTTCAACTCCGTGTTTTTCAACTCCTATGGCACCATGTGTAGAGACTTTGGTGGATGCCCAGGGTCAGAGCGAGGACGTATCACCAGCTATTGGGCTTGTTACTATTGCCAAACCTCAGGCAAAGGCATCCAGGGGCAGGAGGAAGCCCAAGAGTCAGACGTTGGCCAGTGATTCTACCACTATTCGCCGCTCCTCACGTCACGCTGTAGCATGATACTTCTGTCTCCCTAGTATTGCTATTAAGATCTGATCACACAATCACTAGATTCTAGCTCTACTGTAATCCGAGTGTTTGGGTTACCTATGTGTTGCTCCTTCGTACAGCTTTTGCAATCTCACTGTGCCTTCATCCCAATGCCAACCCCAACGACGACCTGTTTGTGTACCGGATACAGGCAAAATTCTCTCTTCTTAGACTGGCGCCTCAAACCCATCACCAATTCTATCATGTCATAGGAGCGCCTGTCTTCCAGCGCGAAAGGTCGAGTTCAAGCCTCGGACAGATCGTGAAGATTGCTAATAACAACTAGTCGTGAAGGGTATGGACTCGTCCGAGTTGTGGAGGTGGTGAGTCCTGGTTGCAACTCCTTTGTGGAGGAAGGACGATGAAGGCAAGACCGTTTGCAACGCGTAAGTTCTCATTTGTTGTTCCTTCTATATTCGTACCTATCTCTTATATACATACAGATGCGGCCTCTACTATAAGCTTCACGGCTCTGCTCGTCCCATTAGTATGAAATCCGATATTATTTGGAAGCGCTCTCGACACGACGCTCGTGCGCAGCACTCCTCCCTCACCAAGCCCCCAAGCGCATCTAACATGCCTGGCACTCCTTCCGTTATGGAGGAGACAGTTTCAGAACGGGTTCTGGTGCGACAAGCGCAGGTACTTCTTCGTCTTCGCGGCGCAGCAGCATGGACTCGTCTGTCCACACAGTCGATGCGGGCACTGTTGTGCCACACCCGCCACTATACTACCCACCAACCCACCATGAGACCCGCACCCGCCATGGGGGTGTGGGTATACCTGCGGGTGTGGGTGCGGGTGCGGGTGATGCTTGCGACACCCACGGGTACACCTGTGTCATTCCCTAGTCGTTGGTGGTCGTTGGCTCTCTCGATCTTGTTCTCTCGCTAGATGGGGTTCATGCCGAGATTTTCACAGTGTTAGTAGTTGGCTCTCTCAATCTTGTTCTCTCACTAGAGGTCTCTGGTCCGTCATCTTGAGCTCGTCAATCACTTGTTGGTCATGTCTGAGTTCGTTCTTGCAGCCAGCAAGAATGATGGGAATGCCAGCACAGAAATGCATCACCTCAAAAATCTGCACATTGTCCAGAGTCGGTGAGTCGACAGCAAAGCAGATAAGAACAATATGTCTTGAACTAACTGATAAGATCTGAAGCGGTCATAGTCTTCTTGCCCTGCTGTATCCCATAATAGCACATGACAAGCTCGATGTGCTTTCCGTCAAGCACCATCTGAATCACTGACGATAGTGAGCTTCCTCCTTATTTCAGCCATTATTCAAACATAGAAAGTAGGATTGCATGGATATTGCATTACAATGAGTTTGCGGCCATTCAGATGCCTATAGTAATACATGTTTGTCGCCAATTTAGCCCTTTTGCTATGATTATTTCCTAACATGGTAATTTATTTTATGTCATTGAGTTTATCATTGATAGTGCTTAGGTTGACGATTCAAACTCACTTTTGTTCCTCAATGTCGACGTCCATGTTCCCATCTGGTCCTGGTGCCTTCAGCCTCCCCTTCATCACTCCAACATAACCTTTGCTGCTCTCATTTTGCTCCAGCAACTCAAGGTACGCTTGATTTTAAATTGCCCGTTTCCCTTCTGAATCCATTTCATCTTTTTTAGACTGCATGTCCAGAATTCTGGTGCCTTCAACCTCCCCGTCATCACTCTGTGACTTTTGCTGCTCTCATTTTGCTCCAGCGACTCAAGGTGCGCTCATCACTCTGTTACTTCTGCTGCTCTCATTTTGCTCCAGCGACTCAAGGCGCGCTCATCCGTCTGTTACTTTGCTGCTCTTGTTTTGCTCCAGCGACTCAAGGTGTGCTCATCACTCTATTACTTTTGCTGCTCTCGTTTTGCTCCAGCGACTCAAAGCGCGCTCATCACTCTGTTACCTTTGCTGCTCTCGTTTTGCTCCGGTGACTCAAGGTGTGCTTTGTTATATGTTGTCCGTTTCCCTCCCATCTCATCTCTTTGCCTGTCCAGAGTCGGTTGCGCCCCCCCATCACACCAAGCATCATCACTTAGACCCTGTTACTCTTGCTGCTCTCGTTTTGCTCCAGCGACTCAAGGCGCGCTCGTCACTCTGTTACTCTTGCTGCTCTTGTTTTGCTCTAGCAACTCAAGGCGTGCTCGTCACTCTGTTACTCTTGCTGCTCTCGTTTTGCTCCAGCAACTCAAGGTGCGCTTTATTTGTGTTACCTATCTCT